TGCGGCTCGTCGACACAACAGGCTCCGCGTCTGTGGAGGCCAACTCTGCCTCATCATCCTCGTCCTCATCCTCGTCTTCGTCCTCGTCGTCGTCGGTATCCTCGTAGTCCTCATCGTCATCAATGAAGTCGTCCATTGTGGGGGACGTTGCCTTCTTTTTCTTTGTCTTCTGCTGCCGCTTCTTCGGGGTCTCTTGCTTTGGCTTCGCACGCATGCGACCCTCCGCTGCGACCGCCGACTTCCCCTTGGCCTCCGTGAGCTGCAGCACCTCTCCTCCTTGCAGCTGCTGCTGTTTCTCCTGGGGAGACCCCTTGCCACTTGTTCTGTTCGCCGCCTTTTTTCTCGCTCCCCCTTTCGCCTGCTGAGCGAGGAGCTTCTTGCGGTGCTTGGGGTCAGCGATCAGTTCGAACGCGTGCACCAGCCGCTGGAACGCCTCCGTTGCGCGCTCGAATCGTCCCTTCATTTTGTCAGGGTGAACCAAACCGGCAAGGCGCATGTAATTCCGCCGCGCTTCAGCCACAGGCGTATCGGCGACGACGGGCGGCAGGCCGGGGGCGAGCGACAACACCTCCAGCGCCGCATCGCCCTCGCAGTTGAGAATAGACTGCGCAACAGCTACGGCATCCATTTGCAACGAAACGGCGCACGTCCAACAAGTAGAGCAGCAGCTCGCTCTCAAGAGCGCTTTGTTGTTTTCTTCTCGAACCGCGTCAACTGGAAAGACAGACTCCGGTGATCAAGCCAGAGGAAAAGGAAAGAAGGGAACGAGAGTGCGGAAGCAAAGGACAGCAATAGATGAGGCAAATAGGCACAAGAAAAGGGAACACGCAAGAAGCACCACGCGAATATATAAATAGAGAGAGAGAGAAAGAGATCCACACACGCATTCAGAAGGGGGGGGGGGNAAAAAAAAAAAAACAGCTGCACGTGGGACTGGAGGTTGCGCAGGGCCACACCTGAAATATGAAAGAAGAGGGACAAGCAACTCATAAACAGGCATCCAAAGGAAGAGAGAGAACGGGCAGTACACTACTTCAACATCTACTATCTCACCTGAGGCTCTTCGTTTTATTTAAGTGTTGTTGTTGTGCCACACATTCCCACACAGCTGCAGGATGAACAGCGGTGCACTACGCCGCGACTGCGCCCCCTCAAATGAAATCGCAATACTTGTAGAGTTACATACACTTCCAACGCACACTACGCCTCCGATAGGCATTTAGTGCCGTTTTGTCCTTGCCTTGTCTCTGTGTGTGTGTGTGTGTGTGTGTGTGTATGTACGCGACCGGGCTCTACTCCCACAGCTGTAACGCAAAAACTGAAGCAATAAAAAAAAAAAAAGACGCCAACAAGCACACACTGGGGGGAGAGAAGGGCCCCGACGACCGGCACTGGAAGCGCCGGCGGCACGCAGGCAGCACAGCCCCGCTCTCCAGAAGGGCAACGCTACTGAGCGAGCCCCTCCTGCAGCTGCTTCTGCTGCACGCACGCCTGCCCAGTGACGGAGGGGGCGTGGCAACGCTGTGGCCCCAGCCTCCAGTCCGTCGCCGCAACGTACACCCACTCATTGCTCTCCGCCTCCTCAGTGAGAGCGAGATCGTGGTTACGCCACTTCGCGATCTCGCCAATGAGCGGCGCATTCGAAACGATGAACGGATGGGACTCTACTTCCTCCGCCGTTGGGCGAGTCTTCACGCCGAATGACAGCATTCCCTCGATGAGTGCCTTGGCGCTGTCGGACACGCCAGCCCAGCGCGGCCCGATGCAAAGAACTCCACCACGCATCTCCTGGTGGAGCGCCGCGAGGCCTGTGCCCTTCAGCGGCCGCTGCCCGGAGAGCATCATGAATGCTACGACGCCTAAACTATAAACATCCGCGCGGTGCATTGTGTCGCCTGTGGCTTCGAAGGCGTTGAGGCTCCGCAGCGCCGGCACGACGTTCTCGGGCGACGCAAACCCCACCGTGCCGCAAGGCTTGAACACCTGCCGTCCCGCGCTGGTTATGTACTCAGCGAGGCCAAAATCAATGATCATCGCCCGTGTGTAGTCGAACGTGAGGACGATGTTGTCGTGCTTGATGTCACGGTGCACTATGCGCTTCTTGCGGTAGAGGTAGTTGAGCCCCTGCGCCACCTGCGAGACGACACTCGCGGTGAAGGCCGCCATGTTGCAGCGCCGCCGTCGCAGCAGGTTCAGCGCCTGCGTGAGCGTGCCGCCATCGCCTACCTCCATCACGATGACGAAGTGCAGCGGCGTCTGGAACACCTCCAGCACGTGCACAACGTTCGGGTGGTCGGTATCCTGCATGATGGCGAGCTCCGTGATGATCTTACGCCACGCCCACAGCGTCAGAATGCTGCTCTTCGTGATCACCTTCAGCGCAACACGGGTGCTGTCGGTGCGACGGCGGTCCTCACACTTGTAGACTACGCCAGTGCCTCCCTTGCCGATGCGGGCGCCGTCAAAGAAGGAGGGAAAGCGGCTCATGATGGTGTCGTAGTACACGTATTCGCCAACGTGGAACTCTGACATGGAGGTGTAGCACGACTGCAGCAGCGCGTTGATGCTGCGGTCGTCGAGGAACGACAAGATGAGTTGCGCCGTCACCGCCTCACGCGGGCCCGTCGCGCCCCTGCGCATACTGCGGAAGACGGCCGGCAGGCGACAGGCGTTGCAGCGGCGCAGAAGCCGGCCTCCGTACTCGCCGGTTGGTGGCGCACACTTCTCGCAGAAGATACCGCCGCACCAGCGGCAGTGGTGCCTGCCGTGGAACAGCGTGAAGGGCCGACCGCAGCGCCGGCCGCCGCACACCTCCGCCGAGCTGTCGTCACGCCAGCGGGCACCGGGGACGACAAGCCCCTGCGGCCCGTCCAACATCGCCCGAACGTCTGATGCACGGCGCAAAGAGCAGGACACGAAAAAAACAGAGGGAAGAAAGAAGGAGAAAAAAACAAAAAAAATAAATAAATAGTGAAGGTGCTTAAAGATACGAACAGGTCGCTGTGCAACAGATGTACGCGCACGAGCATCGCAACACATGCAGGCGCACTTGAGGATGTGCCCTCACGCTCTCCTGGGGGGGCGTCATCCGCTTCAAGCCACGC